TGAAAAAGATTCTGAACACCCGGATTATTTTATGCAATAACAACATAGCAGCAACAACCCGGCCCCTACGCACACAACAGCGGCAGCAGTAACTGCTGCAGCGGCGGTTGCAGCAGCAGCTGCGGCTCTCGGCGCCAACATGTTGAGCGGAACAGCCGCAGCCGTTGCCCACAATCTTAGCACCAACAACAACGGTGGAACCAGCGGTAACAACAATCTCATCAACCATGCAAGCAACAGTAGTCCCTCAGCAGTGACGCCGCATTTTCCTAAGGATCTTAATTTTTAATTTAAAGTTCTTTTTTTTAAGGACTAATGAACCGAATCAAATGTTTACTAAAAGAAATAAAAATGTGCTGAAAAGCAACCCACTGGACATGAAGCAATGGCAGCAAATAGGAAATTGTTATAAAAAAAATATCAAAGTAAAACTAAAGATCAGACGTACACGTACATATATGTAAAATTATGGCATTAACATTACCAAGTAATAGAAAAAGTCTAAATGGATGTAAAAGTTGTTCGGGTCGTATATGGGAATGCACTGTACAGCTGACAATGGGCGGATAACGTAGAAGAATTCCAAAACTCAATACAGTTACCCTAAATTACCTCTCGAGTAACTCTTACATTGAAAAATTTGCAGAGAGTATTAAAATTGTACAAAGGAAAAGCGCAATTAAACAAAAAATAATAATAATAGACAATGGATGACCGATTTTTTTTAAATAAATGCACTCAAATTAAAAGAAGTCCCTAGTTCGAATACGAAAAGTTTAAGAGTCAGGAAACGGATTCTTTTTTATGTGTGGAAGTATACGCATGTCTTATATTTCGACAAGCTAAGCATAAAGCAAGTTTAAAAGGTGGGATATATATTAAAAATGCGTAAAGGCACATTTATGTAAAAAAAAGTAAACATATATACCACTAATTGTAAATCTTAAAATAGGATGAAAATTATAACTGCATAAATATATTGTACTTATCAAAGCGAACTTAAACTGTAAAATATTAAAAATAAACGACTACACATACAAACATACTTATATTATTACTACATTAAAGTGGAGAAAAACATCGTATAGATATAAATTTATACCTATTTAGAATACGGTTAGCACCATAGGCGTAAATATGTATATTAGTCTGTTCCAGTACTCGAGGGTTTAGTCACACTTAGCCTGGAAGATATTTCTAAAGATATTATAAATGTGTGTACTTCTGTCTAAAGGCTGGAGTCCTGGAACAGGCTAAGTGTATCTGTACTCTAATTCCACATTAGCGTGAAATTACAAGTATGTATAATATGAAAGGGCGCGAAGAGCAGTATTGCAGCTGGAAGTGCTGCGATTCGGTACAATTGCAACTCTAAATATAATAAGGGTACTCATTTAAAAGCGCAAAACTCTCGCAAACTGGGCAATCTGTGCAATTGTAAACCCACGCAAATGAAATGTCAAAATGTATTGAAAGCCGTTTCTATAAAAAGGGCCATTTTGTCGCGCAAATTTGCGCAGTGTGATGTGCAACCCTCGAGCAACTACATTATATACTCTCTTTTTTATTTATGCTCAACGCTCTTTCGTAAGACTTAAATATTTACTAAATGCGAGTTTAAATTGTTCTACTTTCAAATTACGTATTGTCAAATAATTAAATGTCAGAAATTGCACAAAATATTAAATTGTCCTCATGAAACACACTGCGCAAATTCGCCCAATTGCCCAAATATAAAACGTACGCGTATAGGTGAAGACCCGTAATGAATTCATAATAGGTTAAAAAGTATGATAAATCATGTACAGTCAGTCAATAAAATTTAGGTACAGCGAATTTTTTACAATACGGGCAACTATTTTTTAAATATTTTATTTTTCGCTAATTTTTTATAAAAATATGGTTAATTCTACAACAAAAACCTCAAAAATCAAAGTTTCAAACTTTGTGCAAAATTAAAGAAAATTCTGCAAAATTTCATTCAAATATTTTGTATTTTTATTTACGCTCTCTAGAAAAAAGTTGAATATGCAGTTTTTTAGCCCATTCAATTTCAGTATAAGAAAGTGCAAGCAAGAGGAAGCTACGACTTACCATTGATTTTTGGGAAATTTTTTTGTTGAAGGTGTCGCTCATTTTCTCCATATAAAATAATGTTTGATATTTTTTTTATATGGAAAAAATGTGCGACACCTTCCACAAAAAAAAGTGCTAAAAATCAACGGTAAGTCGTAGCTACCTCAAACTTGCACTTTGTTATACTAAAATTGAATGGGCTAGAAAACTGCATATTCAACTTTTTTCTAGAGAGCGTAAATAAAAAGTACAATATTTGAATGAAATTTTGCAGAATTTTCTTTAATTTTGCACAAAGTTTGAAACTTGAATTTTTGGGGTTTTTATTGTAGAATTAACCATATTTTTATAAGGAATTATCGAAAAATATAATATTTGAAAAATAGTTGCCAGTATTGTAAAAAAATTGCTGTACTTAAACTTTATTGACTGACTGTATGTAAAATTTTACATTTAAACTAAATGGAAATATACATACATAAATCACAAATATTCATCGGAGAGTCAAGCTTGAATTTTAAAAAAAAAAAAAAAATTCTCGTTGCATTAGATAAATGTAGAATAATGGATTTTGGGTGAAGATAAACCGTTATATTCATTTATTTTTTCGAAAGTGCGAGCACCACCTTACTTATTTCAGATAAAATGTGACAGTTGCTGAACAAAGAAATACATACATACATTGGCGGTCACGTACAAAGTTTACACAATTTTTAAGGTGTTCTTGCACGATATGTATTTGCATCTGTAAATGTGACTTTTTCAATACATATGAAATTGCGTATGTCTGTCAAATTCACGGTCTTTATTTAACTATTTAAAAATACGTTCTTTGAAAATGAAATAAACTAAACTCAGATGATTCTATCAGTGTGTCAGATGAAAATAGAAACATTTCAATTTCGTATGTACGTGCATCTGCTTTGTACAGAAACAAATCTAGTTTGTTTTTACATGATATGTTGACATTTCCATATGTAAAAAGTGACATGTACACATGCAAATACATATCGTGCCAAGCACACCTTTATGAAGTAGTATTTCGTACATTATTATCGATTTCTTATTTTTTTTATTTACGTACATAGTTCAGTATATAACAAAAACTATAAACAAAAGATTCAAACTTTGTACAAAATTTAGAAAACTTCATAAATTTTCAAACTTCTTAATCGATTCTTTTAGGAAAATTTCGGGTATGCGATAAAACTCGCTCATTAAATTTTAGTATAATAATGTGCAATTTAAATTAACTGATTTTTTTTTTTTTTAATTAAGGTACGAATTTCTACTTCATCAAATAAATAATAGCGGTGGTAAGTTAGGCATTACTGTCAGTGTATATACATACACACATACATATGTATGTATGCAAGTGACAGCAGCATATTTACATGTTGATCTCAATACTACGCCCTAGCCCCAACGTACGCCTGCATGGTGGTTTCTATGGCAAATGCTACACGTTAGGATCGAGACATTAATTAACCTTTATTTGAATGTTTAGAAATCTTGATCGCAGATCCCGTAATAAATATTATGTGTTTGCTTAAGTCATAAATATTGAGCGTGTAGCCATTGCCCAACATGCATACATATATCTCAGAAATTTGAAATCATAATACTTCTGCAGTACATATGAAAAAGCAGTAAACAAAATAAATAAATTTGCACGTGGAACAACATAATTTATTCAATAATTGGAATATGATTTTATTAAAAATATGTACATATGTATTAATAAAGATAAATAGGAATCGAATATCAATCAAACAATTGTTGAAGTGCATGAATCTGCTCTTTGTATGTATTATGGAGGTATGTATTTCGAAACAATTCTATCAGGCGTGTCCCTATTTTCAGAATTTGGTTCATGTGCTCTTAAATTTGTAAATAGCAAAATTATCGAATGGGTTTCTTGGGAAACGTTGGAATGAAAACGTTATTTCTCAAATCGTTTAATTTAAAATTAAGTGAAAATAAAAATAGAATATAATTTTACAATTCAAAACTCAAACTCACACACACCTCAAACCATAACAATATGGAACAATTATTATTATTATTTTTTTAAATTATATTTTATATGATTTTGAAATACCTTCAAACGTCTGAAAAGAGTCATGGTCGACGAATTGAGAGAATGTTTTTACCTATATAATGTTTTTTTATTACGGCACGGTTGTATGTAAAAAAAACGTCCCCAAAATAAAAACCGCAAGAAATTTGATTTTCTGCGGTTTACAAGAATTTTCTTGCCTGCTGATAAGCAAGCGATATTGAAAGGTGGTGCTGTGACGGCGCATGTAAAATATAATAAATCAAGTAAATAAATATGTTGCAAATATTTTTTATTCGCATACATCTTAAACAGATCAAAAATTATATAAACACAAAAACAATGCAAAAATAAAAAAACTCAAAAATATTGAATACTAGCATACATATATTTAATATGATAGAAAGAGTGATTGTACGGCAGAGGAAAAAGTAAATATCCCCCTACACGTACATACATACATACATATGTAAGCATTAGATATAAAAATATTACCGTATGCCTACATACATACACACATATATTATAAATATATCAATACATAACTTAATATTGTACAAAAGTTTAAAATTATTGCTATTTAAATACAATTAAAGAAATATGCATATTTAAATAAAATATTTACTTATTATACTTAAAAAAATATAATTATTATTTTAGTGCTAGAGTATTACAACTTAAAAGTCTTTATATGTAGTTATAATTAACTAAAAGGAAAGGGACAACACACATAACTAGAAGATAATACATAAAAAACGTAAAATCCTTAAAAAAAAAATACAAAAAATGGTTGAATTAAAAACTATTTATAAATAAGTGCGATGTACGTTTGTAATGAAAATAAAAACAGTTTGTATGCATGCATTGTACAAAAAATATATGTATGTACGTACATGTGTGCATTGTATTGTGCTTACAATATTTTTCTTCGTTTTTCATAGCTACGCGTTTCAATTCTTCCTAACTTTTGTGTCCTTAGAGCGGTTTAGTCTTATTTTTCATATCCCAAAAATTAGAGTTAACTTTGTTTAAGATTTTTTTTTTAAGCATTGTAAAAACTTAAAAGTCGAATCAAAAATTAATGCTGAAATATCAGTATGAATTAAAAACGAAAAAGTCAGCTAATACTAAAAAAAAAACTTACATACATACATGACATTTGATGTAAAACGATCAAATAGCGCTAAATGTTTGAAGAATCCGCAAATTAATTTGAATTAGAGCACAATATACACATACATACATAACTTAAATTACTCACTTGACAAAATAAGAAAAAGATAAAATAGTTTGCATAACAAGCGAGACATGAAAAAGTTAATTTAGCAATTTAGACTACATACATACATAAACATAAGCTTAAATTGAAAGCATGGAAATTAAAATTTTGAATACGTCGTACATATTAAGGGTGTGAAAGACGATATAGGCAATGAATGCACACTTTTATGCAATAAATGTCATTGAAGCCGATGATGAACGTGATCATCGTGATTAGGCGTATGCCCACGGTAATATTTCGTGATGAAGATGTGAATTTTTTTTTTTGCAATTTGTATGCATGAAATGATAAATTAAAACGCTGCAGTAAATCTTAAGTAAAAGTAAAATACAAAAAAAGATAAAGTAAAAAAAAAAAAAAAAATAAAATTTGGAAAACGAATTAATGAAATGTGGTGGTGAATTCTGCAAATATGTTTAAAGTAAGTATTTTTAGTGTTAATTATATACAATTTGCAAATAGCTTAACACACATGAAAATCCAAAAAAAAAAAATATACATAAATAAAGTGTGAAAATGATGAATAAAGTTTTAAAACAAGAATATTTGTAAAAAGTAAAAAAAGAACTCAATATTGTTTCAATGAGTTTTGTATTTCTCTCTTGGAAACAATGGAAGATGCAGAGGGGAGGAAGGTAGCGGTGAGGATAATTTTATACACTGTCGGCACGGAGCGGATGCGCTCTCTCTTTGACCACATTCACAGAGCAGATGCAATGGTGCGCTCAGTTGAATTGCAGAAACGACAGAGGTCATTCTACCAGATTCCCAACTTCTGCAGATGTTTTAGCCAGCAATATCCAGTGAGAATGCCTATGATTCGTAGGTTTTTGTTTGGGGTTATGGAGTGGCTCGAGTTCAGGAACTAACTCTAGGTTAGGCCAGACATATTTATGTAATGCAACAGCAATCATTTGTTACCGATAACGACGAGACCAATACCGACAGATGTCGACGATGACAACCACAAAAAGGATGTATGTATTCGAACTGCAATAAATTCTGCAGAGTTCTTATGAAAGCATCACGTTCCACGCGAATATAAGGACGAATATGCCTGCTTGCTCATCATGAGCCATTTCAAATGCAACAAAGCATCAGCAACTGAGCACGAAGAAAGCACCAAGATTACATTTTTTTTTTTTTAAATCAATTTATTGGATTAGATAAGCATAAAAAAGTCACTCATATATTTACAAAAATTTACTATTTGTCTATTTCTGTTTTTGAATTACTCCGAGGTTTTAGTTCAGTAGGTTTAAATTCCCTTTCATTATCAATATCTCTTCACTGCACACCAAATCGTTCAAATGTGCTTTGTATGCTTGTGCTGCGTTGGTAAAGGCTTCTATGCGGCATTACGAGTGCATGCCGACTGCCGCTGGGCACGCAAAAAATGCTTCCGCTGCGCTGGTTTCTGCTTTTAAAGATAGTATTGTCTCTATCAGCGGACGACATATTGGAGCTGGGTAGACTATTGTTGCGTCTTGACACTATAAAAGTATCTTCGAGGCAGATGGTGTTAGCGCGATTCGTACTCTAAGCATCGTAATAATAATTGCATTAATTTTAATTTTAATACGTAAATGTATGCATATCACTAAAGCATTAAGCCTGTTCCAGGTACTTCAGGATTTACAGAATTTTAAAGGACACTGTTCCCGTACGCCACCTTACATAAGGTTTATTAATGGCTGAAACAGCTTTTCTTGTAAACCTTGTAAATCCTGAAACAGCCTTATTATCGTACTCACCCAACGCTCCAAATCACAGAAATGTATTTCATAAATACAGGAAGCGGGCAAACGTGTGTCAATGCCACTCTCAATGGCACAACTACATCCGGTTATATTGAGTGCGTTACATCTCGGTCCGACTGTGCCACCACACATACATACCCCAGTAGGTGCACAAGGTTTGAACTTAGGTTTCGTGACACGTAAATGTAGTCCGCTATTTGTAGAAAAGAGCACCGGGGTGGTATGTTTGGTTTTTGGGTTTGAATATGGCTTCTGGTAAGTGCTGGTACCGTTCGTTGACTCTGTGCCATTTTCACGCTGATGCGCGTTTCCGGCAAACCCACTTTGAGAGCGCTTTCGTACGGGCGATGTTGTTTGTGGCGACTCGTCGCTATCGGTTGCCCCTGAGGTGCAAGGATTCCTCCAACTCCAAGGTGCCATGCAATTAATGCTTTTATTAAGGTGTTAATATTACTAAAATTTTTCTTCCATATCTACATGCGTATATTGCACCCTCAGAGTGTACTAATAGTAATATTGATTTATTTCGCTTGTATTGTTTTTTTGGTTTGCATGGCTTCTTATCTTTGTTCAAAGCATCTTAATTCCTACAACTACGAAGTATGTAAATACAGAAACATTTGTACATAGCTAAGTTGCTACGAAACTATGCTCGCGAGTTGGAGGCTTTCAGACGACTAAAAGGCCGAAAGAGACGAAATTACATCCAACGTTTTTGCTTCTGGCTATTTTTATCTTTTCGTGCAAGTTTGTAGCAGTGTGGAATATAGCAGTGATTTTAACGTGGCTAAACTAGCCTGACTTCTAACTCCCATAACTGCTGTGCTGGTAATTTTTGTCTTTGACAACCCACGAAAGCAATTCTCCTATGAAGTTCTGTTGACTTACGGGGTAGGGGTGTGTAGCACTGTTTGTTTGGCTTGGTTACGTTTCGTATTTATTTCTCCTGTTGCTCGTTATGCTGGCCAAACAATTCAATAGCATTGAATACAATATTTATGAATAAGTTTAACTACTAATTTTTTTTCAAACCCGCCGCATTTTTAAAGAAATGAAGTGTATTTGAGCAAGTTATAACATGACTTAATTTAAAATTATTATTTCTACACAATTATGTAAATAAAATTGATTGGCCCATAGGATAAGTACGTATGGTAGGCATGGATTTTTATATCGAATCGCTGGTAAGCGCCGCCATCAAGAACTCCATTTTATTGAGGAAACTCTTACCTTCGATTTTGTCAAAGCGGACCTAGAAAAGTCAATTGATAGTTAACGTTTAGACCGATATTTTATAAACTTGACTTACTTCTTTGAAATGACCTCCTAAATTTTCCCAGAATTTCTCTGGCACCAGTGGATTGGGTATAAAGTCTGGGCGTGGACTCCGAGCAATATAAACCTTAACATCGATTTGCGGGTCGCAACGTATTTGCACCGCGATCATACGATCACCATTCGGTGAAGCCAATAAACAAGAACTAGCATTGCCCAGAGGTTCGACTTTGCCAATGCCGAGGTTGTTGCTATTAGATAGAACCGTCCAAGCCATACAGCGCGCCAAATTTAGCAAACATGATATCTGGTGCGAATTTATCTGACAAAGTATAAGATCGCGCAACTCCTGTGGCTCGTACGAAAGATGCATTACACGGCCATCACGGCAAATGCATTTTAGGGAACGCTCCTTTACGTGTATTACCAGAGACGTACGATTTATGGTGTCGTAGCTGAAATCACAATGAAAAAATGTATGTATGTATGCATATTTTTACATTCATTCAATTCCTTCTACTTACCCATGGGTCACAATATTAATCTTCACACATGACATGGTTGGACTATTCATTGCATTCCAATGTGACACAATCTGAGGATCCTTAACATCACGCGCTAAAGTGTCTAATACGTATTGCGTCCGTTTGCGCATAAATATATGTTGGGCTTGGGCAATTATTTGTTCCAGTATAGTTTGCGACTTGGTCATCTCAAGTAAACTTTGACGATCTGCCGCCTTAGGACCAGCAAGCATGCGCTTTTTACTGGGCCCTAATGGTCCACTTGTTGGATGTGGAAAAGGATGATGAGAATTCTTGTGATGTACTTCACGCAAAAGTTGATGCAATGAATGTTCAAGCACATGATCATGGTCATTTATTGGTCCCGGTTGGCTGGAATCGAAGGTTGTGGAGTGACATAGTGAAATAATGAGTTGTATTCCTGGGAGAAGAGTGGCACGAATCTGATTGCCAATAACAACATGCGGTATGGGGGCTTGCAACTGAATGGCTTCGCGTGCAAGCTGAGAGAATAATTCTTTACAAAATAGTACATTTTGTGCAAATTCTAAAGTTTTCTGCCAAACACCTGCCTTTAATGTAAAACTCGATTAATTATGTGTTAATATACCTTGTGTCTGAATTAACTGCATCTTACCTGCTGTGTTATATTAGGTCCATGTCCCATAAGATTAACATTAGCAGTGCATAGATCTTCCTGATCTTTTTGAGTGATAACTTTTATGTAGGCTACTCCTTGTAGTTCGGCCGGCACAATAACTCGCAAGGATGAAGTGGTTTTTGGTGATTGAGTGGGCAAGCCATTATTCCCACTACATGCAATACTTCCTGACGCATTGTCATCATCAGTTACATCTTCAGCTTTTGTCACTTCGAATGTGCCACTCATTCCGAATTTCGATCCAGCAGTGCGATAACTTAAATCACCAATAATAGCATTGGAAACTTTCTTTAGTCGCCAATTCTGTCGCAGTCGAAGTAGTTCTATGTGAAAATCTGTTACATTGCGGTTTCGTTGCTCACTATGTGAATTACGCAGACGCTCAGCGCCACCTAAAAGAACCTGTGCTGCTTGTCCCAAAGCCTTTTTACGACTATAAACTTGAACAATAGGTTTAGTCTCGTCGGGATCTTCTGGAACAGGATCCAAAACTAAGTAACGTTTATCTTTAGCTATTGTTATGACATCAGAAAGCACGCAAACTTCCGTGAAAGCATCATTTAATTTGTTTCGAACTGAGTCCCAAGGCCACAGGCTTGGCTGAAATTGTGATGGATCTTTCTCATCTTCCGTAGACTTGTCTTCCTTTTTCAAATCGTCGAGAGAAGTTTTACTGAAATCGATTCGCGCTGCACAGCGAGCTAGCGTTTCAGATAGAGTGGGTGGCCTATTGGGAAAAGATTAAAAGTGTCGCGAGATATTTTTTTTTACATGCTGAATGCACTTACGGTTGATAGATTTCGGTGCCATCGTAGGTAATTTCCTGTATTTGATTTTCACACGTTGTTTCAACCGACACATTTACGCTGCTTGTAATATTCATTTTTAGTTGCCTATTTTATAACAAACGGCAACATAAAAAAGTATTTCAACTAAAAACCGGTCAAGTTAAAACTTTTACAAACAATAAATAAAATCTTCATCTTCGAAGCAGAGAACGTATATTTATAAATATATATATATATATATAAATATACGTTCTCTGTTCGAAGAATAATCATTCACAGATGCAAATAAACCAAGCCTCCGATAATAGAGGATAAGAAATCGATAATTTTGTCTCATTTGCGCCAAGATTTTTTGTCTATATAACAAAACAGAAATATCAAATTTCAAAATTACGAAAATCACCTTTGAAGATCGTGTACGAAATGTTGCAACCGTTGGTTTAATTCGATTCCAAAGAGCGTGTCAGACTTGGCAATATTTCCAGCTTTTGCACGCAAAGAGAAATTTTATTTCGACGTCCGAACAGCCAGAAAGACCTTTCTGTCACTTTTTGGAAACCAGTTTCAGAAATTATTCTGCAAGGTGTGCCTGCGATTGAAAAAGCGAAAATCGATTTCGGAAATGTATTTCAACTTGCTCGCGCTGCACCTCGTCGCCTGGGTAAAAGATTGTCGTAAGCGCAATTTTGACGATTTTTAGTTCTAGATGCAGTTATATATTTTGAAATAAGGTCTTTCGATGGGTGGCTTTTCAGATATCTGCTTTAGTTTCCGAGATATTGACTACAAATTTTTCTATAATTTAGCAAAAATATAGTTAGTTATGCAGCCATATTAAAGTAATCAATATCTTAAAAATGACGTTCTCCATTTTTAGATATCTCCTTTAGTTTCCGAGATTTTGAGTAAAAAGTGTCGTTAATTTAGTAGAAATTTTGATCACATTTTGTCGTATTTCATACAAAGTGGCTGCCAAATTGTGGACAAATGACGCTTACGACAAAATTTTACTAAAGAAAATCCTTCATAAACTCAAATCTAATTAACATTAAACATTCAAAATTAAATAATTTAAGAATTTTGGGAACTAGTAACATTTTCAGAGACTTTGGAGAACATCTGTCTTTGCGTTTTTGAGAAATTGCATTCCAAACTTCAATCGCGATTACCACAACCTGCCGAAATCAACATACGACAATCTTTTACCCAGGCGACGACTTGGAATTCTTATTTTTGCTGCAAGTGCAATCAAACTAATCGAGTAATCGCGAGCTTGGCATAAATAGTAACGAACAATTTAAAATATATATAAATGCTTTTACTAATAATTTTGCGGAATTTAATTGTTAAGTTATAAATACAAAATCAAACTTCAAATTGAAAATAGAATTAATTATAAACAAGAGAAATAAAAAACAACCGGTAAAGTGGGTTGCATTTAAATATCGGGGAAGATTGCCAGAAATTCATTTGCTATGTGAACAGCCAGTTTCAGAAATTTTCCCTACAATTCGCCCTTCGGAAATAAAAAACTTCTTTCAAAGGACACTTTCCCTGCAAAAATCGCGCCTACTCCATGCATGCGTGTAAAGAGTACTCCCTAAAGACCAAGGAGTACTCCAAAATTAACCACAATTCATATAAAAAATATGATCCAATTAACATTGCGATGTCCTAGGGCAGGACCATATACTCCATCCCTGCATTACATCAGAGTAGCACAAAACTACTCCAACATATTAACAATCGCATTGTTGTTATATTTTTTCGTTTGTACACGGTTTTGTTCTTCACTTCTCACATGCTTTTTCGAAATTAATAAAAACCAAAAACAAAAAAAAAAATTACATGTTGCCTCTGACGGCATTCGAACCCGAACATGCTGGGAGCTAACAACTAACAGCGATCATCTCTACACGTTCAGCTACAGCCAGAAATGCAAATGTGTTTTCAAATCCTCAACTTCAATCNTTGTGTGGTTTTTTCATCATTAATTACTGTGAGCCAATTATTTCTTCATAAATATGGGTACCAAACGTAAACACATCGAGGACGAGTTATCCCGTTTCGAAGCAGAAATATCTAAGCCAGCTACTCAGCCCATGCGGAACATGTTTGTGCCCAGTCAAGTGCGCCCTATAATTGCAGCAAACACTTTCCAAGTTCAGCAAAAGCTACAGCAGCACCCACAATCAACCATAGCTACATGTTCTTCTACAACTACAACGTCGTCTGTGGCAACACCATCACGAATTTCGGTGCCGCCGCCAGTAATTCCTCCACCCACTTTCATGTCAACCTTTGTGCCCACACAGGCGAATGGAAATAGTGGTCCCTCAAAAACAGGAGCCCCATCTTCGGCTAGTGTTACAGCTACTCCAGTTGTGGTCAGTAGTGCGCCAAAACTTTATCAAAGTAGACAGTCTGTAAATGTTCCTACTACACCACACATAGACATCAATGCTATACAATTTGATGTTACTCAGAAACTAAAAAAGCTGAAAGCAGAGAAGTCAGGTCCAAATCCTATAGCTGAAGAAGCAATAAAAGCTGCTCGAGCGTCTTCGGCATTGCAATCATTTCAAACAACAGAACGAAAGAAGAAAGATCGGAAAACAATACGCGTGGCTGGTGGATCCGTTTGGGAGGACGCTTCATTAGCTGACTGGCCTGATGATGATTTTCGCATATTTTGTGGTGATCTCGGGAATGACGTGAATGACGAGGTCTTAACACGTACATTTAATAAGTATCCGTCTTTCCAAAGAGCACGTGTCATTCGAGATAAAAGAACTGGCAAAAGTAAAGGCTTTGGTTTTGTGAGTTTTCGCGAGCCGGCCGACTTTATTCGAGCGATGAAAGAAATGGATGGCCGCTATGTAGGCAGTCGACCAATAAAGCTGCGTAAAAGTACGTGGCGGCAGCGTAGTTTGGATGTAGTGAAAAAGAAGGAACGCGATAAGCAATTGTTACTACAATCTTTCAATTCTTAAGCGCGGTAAATTTGTTACGGAAATTAATTAAATTTAGGAAATGCAAAATTGGATCAAGGTATAAGTTGCGTATTTTTTGGCAATGCTACATAATAAAAAATCAGAACCAACCAAAACTAACAAATTTTGCATTTTTGTAATTTAATTACGAATGGTTGGAGTTAACGAAATCGGTTAAATATGATCACGTACATAAACAGGTAGTATATCAATCAACTATTAGTTCGGTTTCTTATAAAATCTATATTTATCTATATATGTATGTATCTGTTCATCTAGCGTTACATAATTTCTCCGAATCCAATGTGTATTGAATAAGTAAACTTCGCACGATTCTATGGTATTTTCTGATGCGAAATAGAAAGAAACTCAGTCAACTAAGAAACACAAATTATATGCTGAATAATAAATAACGAAAATATTACAGATAATACACGAATAACGCTAAATAAAATATCTACACGCACCAACATACCTAAATATATGAATATTTCCGAAAATCCCCAATTATAACTAAACTTAGATCTTCAAATAAGTCGACGCCGTTCATCCCTAGGTGCATCATCTTGATCTTCATAAGAAATACTTTCATCGTCAATTCCGTCTTTAGTCGATACGGGTTCGTACAACTTTGGTTGCGAATTTAGCTGATTACTTGATTCGCTTGATCGTCCACAAATACGAAAATATGGTCGATGGCAACTGCTCGAGAATACTGATGGATAGTATTGTCTATAAACTATATACGTAATAGACAGACCAATCAAACTGCCGACAAACACATCTTCCCAGTGGTGATGATAATCGCATGTACGACTAACTGCAATTAGTGCCGCCAGAATTATTGGCAGAAGTGTAACACATAGACGCCACGATTGGCCGCGCCCGCGTGCGCTTAGCGCATGCAGTTTGGCACCCACATAAATGGCGATGAAACCAAAACCAACAAAGGAAACTAAAATACAAATTATTTTAATTATTAGAAATTTTGAGATAGTAAACTCTTTATTTTATACATACATGAAGCATGTCCACTGGGAAAACTTTTGCGTCCCTCACTTATTTGTCTTATATCACCGGTACAATTGTACCAGTCCATTGAACCATCTGCATTAGTGCCGTTGTTTAAGACTTCGATGCCATCAGGAAAGCATCGATAAAAGAAATCCGGTCTGTGACGGCCTACAGTTATTTTTAGTAGACTCGTTACGAGGCCATTCAACCCAAGCGCTAATGTCCACACCCAGCTGGCTGCACGAAAATCTCGCCGATCGCCCGTCAACCACAAATGCGCTATTGTTACAGAAAGTGGAACAAAAATTGCTGATAACAAAAGTGCCTGCACTGAAACGATATCAGGAGATCGCGGATTTTTATACAGCCACATCTCTTCCGGGTGCACTTTACGCTTGAAGGGTTTTGTATTCTCCAGAGATCTGAAAAAAATTCAAATAGTGGCTAAAATCAATCGCATGAAAAATAGTTAAGTATTTATGTATATATATTTGCTTTATAATAATATGGGAAGGTAAACAGCCATAGATAAGAGGCCTTCGGCTGTCTATAGATATACATATATCGTCGGTGATACTGCAAAACGGTCTATGTCAATTTGTACCTTTAATACTTAAATGGTCTCTTACTTGCACCGGAATGCATCTGCAAATCGTTACCCCCTAAGAAACGAATGACAAAACTGTCTACCTTTGGCTGATGAAGATGAACGATTGCCAGAAGCGATCAGATACAGATAACAGATCAATTAATCATCAGAGGTAAAAAGTGACATAGAACGTTTTGCAGTATCACCGACGATATACTATCAAATATACATGTATATAAATATACGTGATTATGGATGACAACTCAACTGCAGTTGGGTTGCAGATGGGCAACGCGACTGAAATGAAATTTTATATTATGAATAGCAACTGTAGTTAAGTTCTATAAAGTTGAAGGTAATACAATTTTGAAAAACCCGTAAATAAGACTTGAGTGTAAATAAGTTGAAGAAAGAGTTGAGAAAAGAAATAAATTATCTCAATCAAAATTTCTGCGGCAACCACAAAAATGTAGTTGCCAATATAGCAACTCAATTGCCAGCTTTCAGTTACCAGTTGCCATCTGTAATCCCATTTCAGCCACTGGCCACCCAACTGAAGTTCGGTTGCATTCCGTAATCGACTGGTAAGTCATATGTACAAACGTACTTACATAAAAATGCATACTAGCATTACTCGAATCCCGACATCGATTGCGTCACTAATGCGGTTTTTTCTGCTGCCACCGCCAAAACAACAACAGCCACCTATATCTTCGTCATCATCATCATATCTGCAGAAGCGGAAACAACAACCGGTTTTCCTCTTCTGCCTGTCGTTATTCAATAATTCCTTGTGCATATTTTGATTCCAACTAGAGCGTTTGAATGACTCGGTACTTCTGTATAACTCATCCGCAGAACTTTCACTGAATCGGCGATTCATTGAAGCACCTCGATTTGAGTGCGTTAATACAGTGTAGGCTTTATTTGCCGGTTTTGCAGCTGCCATAGTGGTTGGTGACATTATCAGATATGTGCTGGAGTATTTATAAGAGGTTTCATGGTCAGAGGTGTACTGTAAATGGTAGTTAACGATATTTAAATAATTTGTTATCTAGCGAAAGTGAGCATAAGATAAAGGAGAAAACTTGACATTGAATGTGGCAGTAATGAGATATTGAATTTTATAAGAACTAAATGAAAATATCATGCTTACTAAAGCAGTTTAGTTATATCGTTTATATACATACATAAGTATATACTTCCAGTGGATGAACGCAAGATAATACTACATATAATTATCTGCTTGACTAAATATTTATCTTAATTAATCACACATTTCACTACCACTTATAATGATTTGGCTAACACCGCCCTTAAATGCAGAAATATTTCTTTTATGTGGTAAAAACGCCGAATGTTCCATTAGGTTGCATTTATACCTTAAGTTAACATGTAGGTATAAATACTTTGACGCTTACTTTAGTTAATTGTGTCGTGTTTGGCATATGGCCATTTGTTTTATGGGCCAGACATGTAGTTTGCTTTAAGATGCCTTGAGCACGTTTGCGTAGTTCTGTTTCCACAAAGTTCAAGCCCGTTTTTTGGTCCATTTTACTTAAAGGCTTTATCGGATCACAAGCATGAGCTCTTCCGAAGTTATTAAATTATTCACAGCTACATACGTATGCATGTATGAATATTTAAAAGATCTTGCTGTTGCGAATCTACATTTACCTACATTAAGTTTCTCACTATTAACTACAATTTCGATTATATTTGTTTCTTATCACGATTCGTTAATATTACTCACTATAAGCTTTCTCTTTTAAGTTATCCGTAATTTGTCATTGTACGCTTTTCTAACAATCCTCATCACTCCGGCACAAATCAATAGGATATCTCCAAACTATTAAGTTGAACCTAATGGAGAATTGATGAGAATTCTATAAAAAGTTAAATAAATAAATTGGAGCAAATAAATTGTGAACTTTGTAAAACTTACTTGGCATTCAAACATATCTACACTTGCATATAAACGTCGGTTATTGTAAAAGTAGCATAACTTTATTTAATCTGTTCTAAATTGATTCAATAATAGGTTTGTTCCACACGAGCTCGCGGGTGCCCAAAACACAGTGTTGCCAACTTTTCAGTTTCAAAAAGCACCAAACCTAGGAAAAAAGAGCGTTTTACCGCACTAAAAGCACTAATTTTTTTTTTTTATCAAAGGATACTCTTTTTCATAACAGTTTGTGGTAAACAGAAGTAAAAAAATAAACAATATTTACATGTATAAATAAATACACATCTGGAGAAGGAACAATCGAATCGCAACAAACGAAATTGAATTTTAAAGGGGAAGAGTAGTACTTAATGATACCCTAAGTAGAAGTGAGCGAAAAAATTTTTTGTTTTATAATATAACCTCAAATATTGCGAAAAACCATGTTTTTACACTTAGAGGCTAGGATATCTCAAAATTCTGACGTGGTAGAGAAATTCTGCAGCTAGATTTGGATTCAGCACCGAAAAATCTACACAAAACGGTTCCACTCAGGTGGCAAAAAAAGTTAAAATTTTCGAACTGTGTAATCAATCAATAATCAAGAAAATAAAAAAATAAGTACTTAACTTATCTGCGTGCTAGCATTTTCAACGCGAATACAATTTAACAAAAACGCAAGAACGTGGGTTTGCTACTTCATCTTTTTATCAATTATGGTTTGCATTTTAGTGCATTTAAATTTGTAAATTCAGCAATTTTAGTTCAGAAAAAAGCACTAAAAAGGGCACTAGGCACTAAACCATTATTTTTGGCGTTTTAATTTTCAAAAAGCACTACATCTAGTGCTTAAAGCACTAGGTTGGCAACTATGCCAAAACAGCCCAGAAGCGTTCCTCACACTAGAAAAATGGGTACCAGAGAGCGAATACGTTCCACTTTTGGATTGTAAATGTCGTCTACTTTGTGCACGAAACAGCCCGGACTTTTTTTCCGGGCACAAATGAGCAAAAGGGCAATTTGAAATAACAGCTGTTGTGGTTTAAATCCGAAAGCAAATGTTATAAAAACAAAAGTGGAAAATATCACAGAATTTTGAGAAAATGTAGTTGTTTGGTAATTTTATTAGCCATATAAGATAAATACATGTAAAATCATTGTTTAGAGCTGATATGTTGATTCCGGGCACGAAATGTGGTTTTTTGCTTTCCTCACGCTCTGGGCACTTTTGGCGCGTGTTGGCACATTTTTGACACTTGCGAGACAGTAACTTATTTTACTCTCTAATTACCGGAGCAGCCCGGAAAAGTTGGGGAATGAAGCTATTACCACGATGCAATAATACAAGGTGTTATCGGTTGGCAACTTCTCGCTCTAATTCCGCCATATTGACTGCCTTAGGTTAAACAGTGTTATTTTTTTAACAATTCTTTGCCTAAAAATATAGTTGATTTTTTTTTCTCAGTAGACGCATTTTGTTTTCTCAAAAAGGTATTATTTTAATTTTATTTCATTTCATTGCGAATATACTATAAAAAAGCAAATTTTGTTTAGAAGAAAATATGAATTTTTTTATCTTTTTCCCCCAAATGGGGATTAATTTCTTCCCGTTCCTGTCACAACTGATACCACCTTGTATTATTGCATCATGCAATACTACATCGTTTGTTTACAGTTTTGCTGCACAAATACAAAACCGAAATACTTTTCCTTCAATTTCTTTTCATTAACAACCTTTTACTTCCATGCTTATTTAATGAGTGGAACGTGAGTTTTCAAGTGGTTTTCAGCGAAAACTTGTTTTCGTTTGACAGATTTTACATTGACGAAAACACAAGTTTTAGGTCGAAAACTAGTTTTACAGTTTAAAACATGTTTTCGATGTCGGTCAGAACACGGTACTAGCACTGGCACCGTGTTGCTTCTTTTCAAATTTACTTGGAAAAAGTGTAGCTTTGCTGTGAAATAGAAGTATAAGCTTTTGGGCAATATGTTTATTTTTATATGCATATGAAGCACATTTAACTGATGAAAACAAAAAAAATATTTTTAAATTCGATGTTTACATAAAACTCATAATAATTTTATTTTAATTTTTAGCACGTTTGCAGTTTTTAAATCGCTGAATAGCACACAAATTACGAAATTCACGTAGATATATTTCTTTCAACATTTCGTTTAAAATGCCAAATTTCTGGCAAATACATTAAAAGTTACAAAAAGGGTACTAAGTGCCTACTTTGCGTACTTTTTTACTATCATTTTCGCACCAAGGGATTTCATTCATCCCCTTTCTGTCCTTCGTAAATGCAACCTGTTGTAACCGTCGTGCAAGAAACATTGCTTTTTATTAATTTGAATCGGCATCTTAATAAAAGTTGCGATCCCGTCGCGATTGAGAGAAATAGAGGTTGCGCCCATCACGGTACCGCTATTCCTCTCTCAGTGAATTTGACAGAATCGTTGTTTGTATGACGTCACCTTTGTGCAACTTGTTTACGTATTCCTTGCAACATTTTTTCTTCTTCCATTCTTGCTCACGTTTTGGCATTTCTCACTCGCAACTGCACCAGTGTGACGTCACACAAAAGTTATTTTCAAAAATCCTCTCTGATGGGCGCAATCTTGTATTTTATCATTCTTGCCATCCCGTACCAGTCCGGACTAGTCAGAATCAGTCAGTTTTCACTGGATGTGAGAAATAAACAAGTAATTTTTAGCGAAAAAAACCGGCTTAAAAAAATATATATATTTATTTTTTTAATGATCCAATGATCGGATCTAAACCAAATTATTATGGGACCTCTGAGACACCACCTTTCCGTTGCAAAAAGCATTATCGAAATCGGTTGACGTGGTCCAAAGCTATGCGGTACATACCTACATAAAAAAAAATATTGCGAAGCCGGTTAAAAAGGGATTTGAAAATAAATTCGTGTCAATACACTTTTGAATTTCGGAGCGTATTAAAAGTTGGTTTATGCTTCCGTTTTGAACCTTGCTGCCATACCTAAACAAAAGCGTCAGCGTTGTCTGGCTGTCAAAAAATTCTCATGCCCATACAATTTGTATGAAGCATACCGAAACAACGCGGCGTCAACGCTGAGCGGTTGGAAATTCCGATTTTGACAGGGCGTTAGGTATTAAAGTTGGCTGCAGAAAACGGCGAAACTGTCATTTTTGTGTTACACACAAACAAACCTATGCTTATTGTTGGTGTTATTTCTGCATTTGACGTAGCGTTGACGCTTTTGTTTAGGTATGGCACTTCGGCGCTAACGCTAGGCGTCAGAAACCGTTTCGCACAACGCTTTTGTTTAGGTATGGCAAATAGCGAACTATAAATAAAAAATGTAGGGCACCCTTCTTCGTCCGCGATAACTTTCTTAAGCTGAAATTAGTCAAGAACGTAAACGTACCGGTACGTAAACCCGAGTCAGCTGACACGATCTGTCTTACCAAAGCGCCATGTAAATGAAAACTCAACACCGCAGAATTTTTCTGTAGTTGTAGCCCGTAGCGCAGAAATCTGCGGAATTTAGATTTTTCCGTGTCAGCTGATTTCTCCTTCTTTAGATGGTTGCCACTTCGTCAGTTTTNGTAGTAAGCAACACTGAGGGCTCCAGTAATCGACAAAATTCTGCGTATACAGACTGCGTTTAAGTATACGTTCTGCGTTCTTGACTAATTTCAGCTTTACGATTTTTTTTTAATCGAAGCAACAACACTGGATGCAGTCATATGATTTATAGACACATATACACATATTTGTGTACACACATGCATACATACGTATATATGGCAGTTTGTCCTCCTGGAAAAACTAGACGTCGAAATTTATAAAATAGATTTTGCTGGAAAATATGTCGGCGTCGAAAGAGGAAATCGGAAATCTACTTGATTCCCTTTACATAGAAATGCTGAACTTGATTGAAGAACACACAGCATGCCGGGTGAACATTGAACGCTTAATGAATAGTGGCCAGTTAATGTTGGCTAAAACACGTTACCTCCAAGGATCGCAAACCATCAGTTCATCACAAATCCCCACGGAAAACAGTAATGAATTTAATGCACTTTGTCAAATAGAAGAACAACGAAATGACTCGAAGTTGTCGAGCGTCGAGTACATGCTAAGGTATACGATAAATCAATAGAAATTCACCAGCAAAATGTGTCAAAAGCTTGGGGAAATTTTCGATATAGTACACTCTTGAATCGAAAAACGGGGTATTGGAGGTTTTATAAGGCTGTATCCACATTCTAAAAGTGAAGATCGCAGACCGCGGAGGCTTCTATTTAAAAAGTTATTAACTGTTAAGTTGCAAAATTGACCGAAATCACTTGAACTATTTCACCCACTCTATTAAAACAGTATTTCTGGGTGGAGCTCCTTTTTGCGCAGGCCGCCGCTCTTAGGGATTATAACTCTCACTAAGTAGAATCCTCCTTTCTGTGTTGCCGAAGAAAAGGACACAGGTATTTTTGAGCAGAATTTCTTTCTGTCTAGGCACTATTAGTAAGTGATTTGTCAAAGTGATACCTATATTTAGTAAAATGAACGCTCCCCAGTAATCCCTTAAAACTTAGTATCTTTTTAGGAAAATCAAATAGTGCATTATAGCGAAGTCAACCCAAAAGCTTTATGAATTTCTATTAGGCAACTGTTAAAGTTTTAAATGTATCGTATCCATTAATCATTTTAGAAAATATGCCGTAAATAAAGATGAAGGATTCACCGATCCAATGCATTGGTTTACAGTATTGCCGCCAAGCAGCTTACGAACTGCATCTGAACACTTCAAAAAATGTTTAGATCTAGTTTTAGAAAGTGCTAATATACAACGGGAGCTACTTGCTGTAATGGAAAGCATCGAAAGTCTCAAACATCTTCAATAAATTGTAAACATGTAAATAAAACTTTTTGATTATAAATTAATATTTGACTACAAAAATGTTATACACTTGTTAAGGCGCTTCATGGCGGCATGATTACATTATCAAATGGTAGAGCTCGTGTCTCCTTCGTTCACAACCATAAATTTTATCTGCACATCTACGCCAATACCAGCCTCAATTACGTCACCAGCCTTTACTGGCAACGCACCATCTGGTGTGCCTGTTAATAATAAATCGTTGGGCTCCAGAGTCATATATTTTGAAGCATGGGCGATAAGATCATCAACTTTAAAAATCAGGTCTTGAGTGTTGCCTTGCTGGCGCAGCTCTCCATTCACTTTTAACCATAGGGGCAAACTGTGGGGATCTTTAATCTCATCGCAGCTTATAAAACGAGACACTGGGGTTGAAGTGTCGAAGCCTTTACCTAAACTCCATGGGTGACCATTTTTGCGTGCTGTCCCCAAATTACATTGGGCAGTCATGTCAAGCGCTAGACAATAACCACCAACATAATTAAGTGCTTGTTCTTTTTTTACGTTTTTACATCTCTTTCCAATTACTACGCCCAATTCAACTTCATGAGCCACTTTTGTAAACACCTTTGGAATCTTAAAAAAAAATAAAGACAAATCATTATATATAGTATAAAATATATACATATATGAGCATTGCAAATACCACAATAGGGTTGCCTTCGATCTCGTAGGATGTTGTCGGCTTAAGGAATAGAAGCGGTTCTTCCGGTACAGGTACATTGCGAGAGCGTACAATATCCCTAATTAAAATCAACTACACGTAATGCATATAACGACTCTTCTGTTTTACATACATGTAATTTAGCGCCGCTCCAAGTATTTTTTTACCTCGCTCAACGAAATCATATTTTCCAGATGTGCTTGAAGATGACGCCATTCTCAGATATGTTTTCCTCGAGGCAGTCAAAAAGTTACTAAACACATTCATTTTTATTCCTCAGACTATAATGCACTGCTGCTGTGCTGAGTTATTCAACTTTGAAAATAAATTAGCTAGTGATGTATTTTTGAGTAAATATTGTGATTACATATGTATATGGCGAACGCCAATCAAGTACATACATACTCTCGCTGTAGCATATGTTTGCTTTTCTGCCGAAGTGAAAAAACACATGGGAAGTGATAAGAATCTTTACTTTTGACCTGAGTTTGGGGAGAGAAAATGGATAACTATTTTTAGGAAATCAGCTGTTTACTTTTTTAATTTGTTTACTTTTCTTACAGGGTGAAGCAAGTCGGTAAGGAGAAACTCAACATATTAAGAGCGAAATACACCACATAAGCGGCTTGACAAACCAAGGGATATATCGCTATGCTTCAAGCTATTTGTGCATGATTGAATAGTACAAGGTTCGATAAACTGACCGTTTCTCTCGCAGCGCTCCCTTAGGCAAAGAACATAGTGGCGCGACAAAGAGAGCGACAAGACATAGTCGGATAATAGCGAAGGAAGAGACAAGAAAACGTCAAAACATAGTGAAGCAACACTCAGCTCAGAAAGCTAGGAAAACAATTTTTTTTTGTTTTCGTCGCTATGCTCTTTGTCGCTTTCTTCGCCTCACTATGTGCTGCCACATTGAAAAATAAAGGTTTTTTGTACTTCGGCCGATTAAAACCTGAATTTAATTCATTTCAAGAACAAATGCTTATATAAACTTTTATAATAACAAAAGAAAAACATAGTCAAATAACTAAATAACATAACCTCCTTCAAGAATCGGCCAAAAACGGCCGATTAATCGGTCGGACTCTATTTATTTTTAACGAAACTAGATTTTACACTATAACGAAAACCACGTAGGGCAGAAAGTTGCAAATCTTTTACAAGATTTATTAACAATCGCCCACTCTAAAAATGCTGAATTTCTTCCATATTTGTAAAAAAATTTTCGAACTTAGAGGCTGCATTTCTTTATTCATTCTGAACTTTTGGAATAAACTTTTTTGTTTATTTATTCTTTAGAACGTTCCTGATGATATGTTGACGTATATTTCAAACGTATTGGCCCGTAGTCATAGTCAAAATAAAGTCGACTTTAAAGTTAGTTGCAGCTTTTTTGACAGATATCCCATTGAAAATTATGTCAAAAAGCTGCAACTAACTTTAAAGTCGACTTTATTTTGACTATGACTACGGGCCATTCTGTTTATTCCGGCTGTGAAATGGGATTATCCGGAATGTATAAAGAAACGCAGCCAGAGTGTATGGTGTAACACCGTCAGTAATTGAGACATATTTCACTTCGATCGTCTTCGAAACACTTCGATTTTTCAAGCGCTTCGTTTCCTTAAAAACCACGGCAACACTTACTTCGTTTATACGCACGTATTATTTGCAAATAACAATTTGCGAAATGGTAAACTTTGCTGTATAAACGCTAAGTTAATTTTTTATTCGCAAATAACTAAATCACGCAAATAAGTATTGATTAGTGGTACTATTTGCAAATAAGCGCAAGATGCCGCCATTCTTAGGTTTATTTTCTTTTTCGGTGGTCATCTTATTGCCTTTTCATAATCAAGACGTTGCCATTTTTAACTTTATTTTCTTTTTCGATGGTCATATTATTGCCTTTTTATAATCAGGCAATATTAAAAAGAAATTTTCACCATCGAATAAACAGTGAGCTAGGTATTTGCAAATAGCTTACGTATAAACTGTTCCTTGCGTTCGTCAAGCCGCTTGTGTGGTGCATTTCGCTCTTTATTGATTGACACAGGTCCTTTGTTTCAAACACCTCTGTGATCGGCCGTAAAATGAAGAACAAGAGCGAACCAGCAAATGTCAACGATAGTTGAAATAATCTGGCAATTGGTACGAAAAACAACTGGAAATACGCAATTGTAAAATTGGGGCCCGCTATAGAAAAATTAATAATTTTATTTTCGGTAAACAAAATGTGCGTGGCATAAAAGTGAAATATGCACAAAAAGCGTCGACGGAAAGTGGGTTGAAGATTTATTGGTTCAAGAGCATTAGACGGATTAGTTATCTATGTACATATCTACATGTATGTATATGTACATCTTGTTTGTTCGTACAAACGTACATAAATGCGATTTGGCATTGGAAGAAATTTAATATTATGCTATGATGCAGAGTAAAATAAAGACAATTTAAATGTTGGCCTGTGGAAAATCTAAATTAACGAAGGGTTATTAAAAAAAAATTTCTTATTTTACTGCTATGAATCTGTTTCGGAGTTGGGCCGTATTGAAATCTTACTGGATTTTTAGCTTTCACTTATTGGAATAATAGCAGAACAACTGTCATGTGCAAAAACAACACAATACCAAAACAAGACCAACTGTCAATGTGAAACAATCGACTAACTGGACGGACGCATATCAGCAGTAGCAATAACAATAATGGAACAACGCATCAGAATGCATAGATCGTGTGTCGTTTAAGAGGTTCCGCAGCACTATACATCTAAAGTGACTAGGCAAAGTTGTTGTAGTTGGAAAGGGTGGGCAACAGTAAAGGCAGAATCACATTGCGCGAAGATACAACATTTTAACCAAGTAGTTAAAGTAGACTTCAATTTTGTCAAAGATAAACATACATATGTATTACTATTTGCATGTATGTACTTATATTTTATATAGACTGGCTTACCCAAAACAGTATCGCAAAGCAAATTGACGAAGGCTATAAAAAGAATATTATATTTTAACGATTCTGTTTTGGTCGTGTTTCGGAAGCCCCATTACAAAATAACAAAAATTGAGAAGACGAAGTGTACTTACCTACTAATTTAGAACAATATTCAGCAAATGTTTTACGAGTAGCATAAAATAGTTTTGGACTGTGGATAGCAACATCTAATTGAATCATACATATTTTTTCATTGTCCATTGGCTTGTTTACATTTAGTAGTCTAGATAAAGACGAAAGAGCAAGAACAACTAAGATTTAAAACTACGAGTTCCAGCGAATTTTTCACAAAATAGAATAACTAATCTATGAATTTCGTGCATAATAAACCACAAGTATGACTTCAGCTCTCCAAGAAGGAAGCGAACTTGGCTCCATGGTGGAAATAATCACATAAGATTAAATGTAACGGGATTGCTCTAAGATTTGTGAAAATCATAACAAAATATTTAGTACAAGTGGCTCAATTTTATAATACTCACGACGCTAAAGTTGCCATAGAGAAAAGTTATAACATAGAGGTTTAACAAAAGATCCATATAAAATAATAACGTCATACGGAGTAAATGTCATTTTTAAATGTTGGAGATTTTCTAAGATTTCCTATCCGTAATAAGCCATAGTATATTTAGAACTCTATACATATTATACGTAAAATGGACACATCATTAACTCACCAACGAAATCGACTGCAATCAGCTTCGACCACAACAACTACTTCAGCAGCCAATGTAGCGCCGTTGAGTAGCAGTATCAGTGGCACCAGCGCAATTCTAACGAATCACAACAGCAATAGTGTTGGAAACATAGGTGCTAATAGAGCTATAGGAAGTGCCAGTGTAGCCATAATGACAGGGACTGGTGCTGTTATACCGATAAACCCGTTGTCACAGTTATCATCACAATCATCACCCTCAGAACGCATTAGTTCAACGTCATCATTAGCGAATCTCTTGGATGGTTTTACATCGCGTGTATCTGGGGATCGAGCTCAGAGCGCTGCCAGCACACCCAGTAGTATCAGTTCACTGGGTACAACCGCAAATGCCTTCTATTCTTCTCTCGGCTTAGCTTTCAACTCCTTGACGTCTCCTATCTCAACAGTAGCTGCTGCGGCTCATGCGACAACGGCAGAAGCCGCCGCTGTCGTTGTTGCAGCTGCTTCAGCGCTCTCAAATCATCTTAGCTCACCGACAAGTGGCACACCTCCACATATGGATGAATTAGATGATGACGACGATTGCGAGGATGATGACGATGACAACGACGGTCATGTGCCGGCGCCAACACCGAAGAAAACTTGGTCGGAGATAAAAGCGATTGTTAACGATATGCGCAAGCACCTGATAAATTTATCCAGCATGATGCCATCGAATATACAGTTCCGGACGTTATCTGATGGCCGGGTCCGCTGCTACTTTCTTAGTACCCCGCCAAATGCGTGGGAGCCAACATTGTTGTATGCAGATATCAACATGAATGGAAATGAAGACATGGTAGCGGAAAACGATTCGCCGACCACTGAGATGAATGGCGCAGCCAGCGACAGTGGTATGGGGATGGCTGCAGGTAGCGACGCAGGAGCAGATGTTACGGGCAGCCGTTTGCCGTCGCCAACTTCTTCCCAAGCGTCTTCACCAACATCGGCTGCCTCATTTCCCACACATAGTCAAAACAAAAGGTTTGTCAAATTTGCTGATTATATTTTATATGCATTTGGGTAAATGCGTACTGTTTTTCGATTTTCTCTAGACTTCAATGGAAGACAGTATTACAGCAGCCAATGTCGAGTGTGGCTGCTGGAACGGCTAGTGGCGGTGTAAATCCATGGTCAAGAGAATTCCAGCTTTTGCAGGAGCGTAAACGACTGTCAACGTGGGGAATTACTTCTTTTGAATTGCATAAGCCTAGCGGAAAGATAGTGTTTCCCTGCTTCAGTGATCTGTACCAATGCCTTGACACAGGATACACTGTAAGTGAAATATCTACATATCTATCCTTATAGGCTATCTATATACATATATGCTTGGCCTGAAGATGTGCAATAAGCTTTTACTTTTTCGAAAAGAGTTGCCACCTGTTACAAAATTTAGTTAAAATATTTTAATAATCAATGCTCAATTGTTCTTCCGATTTTCAAAAATAGGGTGTCAAATGAAAGGGTTTGGCCTGTAGATGCCCAACAAGGTTTAACTTTTTCGAAAATGTTAGCTAACTTAAAAAAAATTGTTCAAGTTATTTAAAATAATCAACTATTACAAAATGGTTATCAATTGAAAAAGTTTTGATAAGCTATTATTTCTCAACTAAATGTATGATGGTTTCCACCTATTTAAAAAACAATTTCAATTTTAATTAAGGTAGTTGAAATATGTATCGCCCTATGGCTACCAGACGAAACAGGGTTAAGGAGATTATTGTTTCTGAATTGTATTTAGGAGAGCTGCCAGATGTTTAAAAAATTAAATATGTATCGCAGTGTCCGGCGAAGGAGGATTAACAACGATTAAATTTATAAATACTTTTGAAAAAGGCTGCCACCTGTTTGAAAAGTCTAACAAAATTAACTAATTCAAAAAGTATATATAAATATACCGTTGTCAAACGAATGAATGTTAAGAAATCTTTAGTTTGAACATTTCGAATGTTTGAAGAGAGTTGCCACGTGTTTAAAAAGTTACATTCAAATTACTGCAGTTGGATGAAGTATTAAAATATGGGTATAAATCAAAATGGATTTGAAAGGGATTTACTCATGACCTTTAATTAGGAGGGTTGCCATTTGTTCGAACAATCAAATTGGAATTAGTTCATCAGTTTACTAAAATACATGTGAGTAAAAATTTGTGAAGTGGGCCACCAATTTTTCGAAGGTCGAGCTTTTTTTGTGCAACTATCTGTTTATGCTTCACAACACAAAAGAAAAAAAACAAGTTTCAAAATTTTTTTTGGAAGTTATAGCCATTAACATTTTTCGAAATCATTTAGATTTTAATGGTCTTCTGCTCATATTTTAAACAGTTAAGAATGATGGTGTTTTCTTCCCATTCTTATTTTTTGTTTGGCCATAATTTTTTTTTTATAAAAGTTATTAAATTTTTTTGAAATATTACTGACATCTCAATGGCTTCAAAACCGCGTTTTCGGCTTATATTGTTGCACGTTCTATTAGTAATTATTTGCAGAAAACAAAATTTCACGCTTTTCTCTTGACGCCCAATGTATTTTGTATGGAAAACGATGGAACAGTATCGTAAGCGCGCTAAATTAGAAATAATTAATAATAGAACGTACAACAATATTAGCCCAAAACGCGATTTTAAAGCCATTGAGATGTCAGTCATATTTAAAAAAATTTCAATAACTATTATAAAAAAATGTACGGTCAATTAAAAATTAAAAATGTTAAGAAAAAACCATCATTCTCAACTGTTTAAAATATGAGCAGAATCGGCATTACCAATCGCGAGAAAACAAATAAAATCTAAACAATTTCGAAAAATGTTAATAGCTATAATTTCCAAAATAATTCCAATTTCGAAAAATTGTGAAACTTGTATTTTTCTTTTGTCGTTGTGAAGCATAAACAGATAATTGCATAAAAAAAGTCCGACCTTCGAAAAAATGGTGGCCCACTTCACAAATTTTTACTCATGTGTGTGATACACATGTCGGACGAAAGAGATTTAAGAAGATTTTAGTTTGAGAATACTTTTGAAAAGGAATTTCAAAATTAAGAGGTCAAATTAGAGACCCGGGCCTGTAGATGTATGATAAAGTTTTATTTTTTTAATTAAGAACTTTTTGGTATAGGGTGATTTGAAATTCAATGAAAATAAAAACATACACTATGCCAGACTGCTCTTCACTCAGAAACGGCTGCAAGGTTTTGGCGAAACATGGCTCCCGGATCTCTTATAACTCTGACTAAAACTTGGAATATTTTTAAAGTTTTTGAAATTCAATTTTGAACGTTTTAACGTCATGCAGGTTCACTAATGAATGTATATAAATTACGTGAATTTTTTGAAATTATTGGCGCCATTTTTAAAAAAATCAGACATAACTACCAAGGGCAACAATCGTATCTGAGGCTTTGGGTTCACACTTTTTTTTTTTCAAAGTCAACTAATATCTCAAAAATTATACACTTTTTAAAGCAGGCTTAAAAGACAGATAACACAGTGAATTCTAAAATTAACGAGGAAAGCAAACAATAGTTTTTATACACAGCGCAGTTGTAAAAAGGGTATTAACTTTTTTATTTGCTAATGAATTTGTATACATACATATGTATTTACATTAAGGTGGTCCAAAATAAGTTAAGTCGGTATTTTAACGCTCTCACCCCTAGCATTGTTCTATATCGAAAAAATATACCCCTATTTTTTATTTTGAAATCAAAAAATATTTAGAGATCACTCAAAGCGCTCAAAGTTTTCCAACAACTTTTCGCAGAAATGGTATGGAATTTTTGAAACTCAATATTTTTCGATCGGAGAACTCTGGCTCTCTTCAGGAGACTTCCAATAACAATACGCATGTGGTTTATTTAACCATTTTTAAAAATCGATGAAAATGAAATGTTAAGACATGATGAGAAAACGGAATAAACTTAAAACAGAAATTTGACAGATGCTAAGACACATTTAGTAAAAGGCGCAGACGAGGGTGTGGATTCTGGTGTTTCTCTACAATCAATCATTTTTTGAGCTCAACATGATGTCAACTGCTTTGTCTGGTCGCAGTGCGTCATCAATGGTACTGAATCTATTTTTTTCAAAACGTGGGTACACATACATTACCTGTTCCTCGTTGTTGTTGTTGTTGTAGCAGCATACAAATTCCCCAAAGACTTTTTGGGGAGTGTTGCTGGAGTGACAGTCCTTGGCCAGATATAAATCTGGGTCGTTCCGGTTACGTAGACCCGACTGTCGTGGGAACGCCTGTTCCTCGTCTTCCACATCGCTGCACAAACATATTTCGTAGAGCTGTGCCCAGAGGTTACGCTCATTCACTCTTCAACTTAATCACTCGAGTTTTAGGGTTTAAACTAGGTCATGTGATAAGCTATGACACTGCGCATGCCGGACCCTGCTGGTTTTGTCGCTGAAAATTTCTAACGAATGTCGATTACTCGGATAATTCGCTGAGTCCCCGTGGGATAGAGGAAGCCTCAATGTGTTCTAGTAGCATGGAGTGGCTGGTGTCAATCGCCTTTGGCAAATCCAAGGATACTAGTACTAGGAATCCATCCTAATGCCGCGCTGGGGTCAGGTGGTACGAATTGTGCTTGGGTTTCACGGCCTCAAGTCTCTTCGTTATCGGGCGATAAGATTCTCCTTTGTTGGACGGCTTCCCCTGTGTATGCAGTGGGACCATTCTCCCCGTTTTGCAGATATCTGGATAATGAGAGTGACCAAAGATAAATTAGGAACCTTGCTGAGGTAATCTACTCGTGCTGCACAATTTTTTCAGCAGCAGCATGCATACTTCGTCGGGTCCAAAGGCTTTGGAGGCTTTCGCCTTACCGATGGCTACCTGAACCTCACCGCTTGCGGCGCACTGGGTGTTGCTAGTTTGTGTAGCCTTCAGGTCATTCGCCGTTTGGCTTTGTTGACCAGAGGATGCAGCATGAACTTTTGGCTAAAATAGTTCGCGCATCGCTCCGGGTTCGACGAAGCGCGGCCACCGAAAGAGATTTCCACATTGTCGTCGCTCTTCGTCGAGTTGGACAGCGCCCTCACGGTTGACCACAGCCTACTCACATCAGAGGTGAAGTTACAAGTGCTCAGATGCTCTCCGCACTTCTTCCGCTTATGTACGTCCACAAGTTGTCGAATCTACGTGTTGAGATCCCAAATGCGGGGATTTCCGGGATCGGCCTGGCGAAGGTTGCCTCACTCATCGTATAAAACAGCCGCTTCGGCTGGAAAGTTCAGACGGGTCTCAGAAAAGCATCCAGCTGGAATGAAGTGGGCTGTCAGCCTGCGGAATTTTCGCCATTGAACGACGGTTGGTGTGAGAAGGGCAGAGACAGTGCTTTCAGTAACCTCTGCAAAATCGTTCCAATCAGCTTTGCTAAAGTTGGCGTAGGATCGGCTTTCCTCGGGAGCAAAGTCAGAATAAGTCGTCACGTTATGCTGTTTATCACACCAGAAATACTCTTACATTCCAGGATGGCATCCCTGCGGTCGATGTCTTCGATAAGACGATGCTGCACGGTGTGGTGTGTGATGAACGCCACCATTATCTCGCTCGCGATCTCGACGGTGTACATTGTATCCGGCGCAGCCCAACTATGTTGAGTTGCCGACTCCTCAATTTTGCTCTGAAGTCCATTCCAATTGAACTGTAGTATATTTGTGTGCCTTGGGAGTGCTGCCTTGTATGGTTAGAGTTGCTCGTCCAATCTCATCGGCATACGCCGCAATTGCTCTTGTAGTAAATTGTTTCTGAGCTGTTCAGATCTGGAGCTCTTTGAAGTCGACAAATAGATGTTTAGTGTCGATTCTCTTCTCGTAGGTCTTTTCCAAGATTTGGCGTATTGTAAATACCTGGTCTATGGTGGACTTTCCCGGACTAAAGCCGCAATGATAAATCCCAATCAGTCTTTCACACAATACGCTCGATAAGACCTTGTAAACTATGCTAAGAAGGCTCATCCCGCCGTAGTTGGCGCGAATAGCGGGGTCGCCTTTCTTGTAGAGAGATCTTTAGATGCCTCGTCCTTCTCTTCCATCGGGGCGTGGACGCAAATGGTCGAGATTTTGAAGAAGATGTTGATGCGGATTGTGGCGACACGTTCGTCCATCGGGGTAAATGGCAGCACTTGGCGATGGAGTCCGTCTCCCACCATAAATCCAACACCGAATTTGCGCTCCTTTACATGACAGCTGTAGTAGACGTCGCAAGGCTCCAGATATTTAACTACTTGCCCTGTCCAACACATTTCTTGGATGGCGATGATGT